TCTTCTCTATGTCACTATTTGGGCACATTCTTCCATCGATTTACCTTCATTTTTCCATAATTAGTGCCATTGTCTTGGCACCTTCATTTTTTTCGTAATGGCTGACCAGGACAAAGAACCCATAAGTCCAACACTGCAGGTTGGCTATTGTTACTTTTATTTGTGATAGGGAAATCTTAGTTTGTTGTAATTGTGGAGTTTGTTGGAATAATTATGGTTTTATTTATATTGTATTGTGTGATTTTTTTTTGGTAAAAAGTGAATATTGTATTGGAATATATTTTTTACTTGATTTTTACTGACAAAGATTATATGCCTCTTTAAAGGAGTGATAGATGTATATTCTATTTTTTTAGTATGTTAGTAACTGTTGTCGAACTAAAGGATTTTTTTATTAGATATACTTGGATTACTCTAATGAAATGAAAATATTTAATAACTTTTTTTAAAAAATAAGTTAATTAGTTTGTACATTTTTTGTACAAATGGAAAGTTAATACTTTTTAATTATTTAAAAATAACTCTGAAGTGCAAAAGTTCATTTTTGGAATAAAGCTAGGATCACTCTTTAATTTTTATGACAGCTAGCATAATTCATATTGAAATTATAAGAATTTAACATATTCAAGAATTACTATGCCTGCTCACTTTTTCCACTCCATGAAGAACATAAAGAAATGTAAAGAAAGAAGCATGTTAAAGATCCAACAAATTCAACTCCCGAAATGGAAAAATCACTTCTAATCTAGAACCTATCGCGTTAATAAGCATTCAAGTCTAAAGCAGTGCTGGACGCTAAGCTTTAATTCAACGTGTGAAACTGTCCACCAAGTTAGGTAAAAGTAATTAAGTTAAAAATCAACATGGAAATAAAGATGGTAATAATTTGTTGCAAACAAATGCAGTTGTGAAATTGTTCAAAAAGTAGATGCAAATTCGACAGTCCCAATACCCAAATTTGAATCAGATAAGAATTAATTTTATAATATATAATTTTATAAATTTTAATTTCGAAGAACAATATATATAAAAGCCCGTACCTATGGCTACTGCG